CAAAAAGACTTAAAAGAAAAAGATAAATGGGCCAGAGTTCAGAAAAAATACAGCTTTTCTGTTATGCAACAACAAAAAAGGTTTTTACTATGGATTATAGCCGTTGTGCTGAACAATTCTGATGAAATATTTATTTAATTACTGTGTTTGAAGTGACTACCTTTGAATTTTGGACAGTGATGAACAATTTTTTTTTAAAAAAGTTGTTTATAGATTAATGGAAAGCATCATTAGTTTCAGCCCTATAATCGCCCAAAGTAAGATGTAAAATGGAAAACCTGAGTCATTTATCTGCCTCCTGTCTTCTTCTTGTTTATTTGCTGAGGGGCAGCATTAGCAGACTGAGTATCATGTAAGGTAGATGAGTGTTTGTGATTACTCTGGAGGGGAGTTCAATATATGGATTTGCTTATCTCCTCTCTGCATCCAAAGGGGGCACGTCCATGTTTCCTGCTCTGGGTGGTAACACCAACAACAGGCTATCTGAAAGAACAAAAAACTGAAGCAGCTGGTAGATGTAGAGAAAGTGTTTTGTTTCTCTAAAGATGGGATATTTCCTATACTTGTTAAGTATTTTTTTCCAAAACTGCCTTTATCTGGATGGAATAATCATTTTGTGTAAGAGATAAAGCTATGACAAAGATCATTTTCCAACAATATTCCAGTGGATGCAGCTAATGTATTTGTGGAACTTTGTGCTTTGTAGTTTTAGAGAACCTTTTCAGAGTTAAGCCTATTAATGTTTTTAGTTATTCTTTAATAGTATACCTTCTAAGATGCTATCCATATGGCATCATGATCTCATCACTCTGTTTGTGTGCAATGTAGTCTGTTCAGATTAATCATTAATTCATCTGATTAATTAATTATTAGTTAATCATTCACTTTTTTGGTTTTTGTTGGGAGAAAGCAATTGTTAAGACATTAAAGCCTTGAACCTGCAAAGCCCAAGCGGTGTCACTGTGAGAATAGCACAGGTATACTCAGTGGATTCACAATGTCATGCCTCCTGCATTCACTAGTGAGTACAGTATTTCCAGTAGTGACAACAGAATTATTACCTATTTTGCGCATCATTTGAAAACTGTCAAGTGTGAACAATGTCCTGACTTGATTGCCCCAACATCGTTTGGAGTTTCCCATCATACTGAGTCTACAGTTTTGACATCATCGCACGAATCATCAGTCCTCTTCTGCTTATCTGGTTCAGGGTTGCAAGCGTGCTGGAGCCTATGTTAGCTGCCACTGGGCAGCGTATAGCTTAGAAAAGTCGCCCTAATTCACTAGAAGTCAGCCAAAATGCACGTCTTTGGACTGCAGGAGGAAACCAGCATTTCCGGAGAGAAACTGCACAGGAAGAACATGCTAACTCCACACAGGCAGATGGACTTAAACCCAGGAACTTCTTGCTGTGAGGTAACACTGGTGACCACCAAACCACTGTGCTGCTGTGCCACCCACATCATCACACTTTGCTTAATTTAATTATATAAGGTTTGGGATAGTTTAGAGGTTACACCTTTCAAACTTTTTCTATTATTGCGTATCCTGAGACTTTTTTTTAATTTTTACTTGTTTTGTGTCTGAATCTATATCATGCCTTGTTTTGCCTTATTTTAACCACCAATCCTAGCTCCTGTCTTTTTCTTCCTGTCTGTCTTGAACCCAGCCTTGAGCCTATCCCCAAGCAATCATTGCTGTAATACCTTACCATGAAGAAAAAGGCTGTTATGCGACTATAGAAAATTAGATCTGAAGTGGAACTTCACTTTAGCACAAGACTGAATTATCTTCATTTGAGCACAGTCAGCTTCAGCTGGCAACACACTGTCAGCTATTACAACCTACTGCAGCTACACCTCACAGTAAAAGTCCCTGAAGTTATTCTTCAGGGAGTGATAAATAAGTTGTGAGATCAGCAGCCTCCAGTTAGATGAAAAAGTATCAGCGTGAAAGCCCCGTGTGCATCCCTGCTGGAAGGAAGAAAAAAAAACTTTTGGGAAACTCATTTCTGCTGCATCTTGATCGCTTACGGATTTCATTTCTAAAGTGGCTTATGCAACAAACAGAATTTCTTTGTGCAGCTTTGGTCGAAACACACACAAATCAGCTGGTGTTGCTCATCAGTGAATTTCTCATGAATTATAAAACACATGCAGCCATTTAGTTGGTTTGTTCACAAATCAAAAACAATCACTCAGAGACTAAAATGGGGAAGGTCTGCACACAGGTGAACTACAATTTAATCATCGGAGAATTCAGTCATTAAATTGTTTATTGTGTAGCCCTTTTCCATTTTGTCACATGCAGTGACTGAATATTTTGTCTTTGGTGTGAGCACACTCAGTCTTTTTTCCTGTCATTACTCTGGTGCTGCCAAATTTAGATGCCTCATCAGAGTCAAAAGGAAGACCTAATTCTAAAGCACGCACCTGCCTTCTGCTCTCTAACAATGACAGCATCTGGTGTGTCAGCCATGAAGCAGGAAGTACATCACAGTTAATAGCTTTCTAATGAAAGGAAAAACCTGAGATTGATTATATATAGACGGTATAATGTAATTATAAAGACATTCTCATATACTCCCCAGATAAAGACCTTGGAGCCATAATTCAGCCAGGTATAAGGCATCATTGATTTACTGTGAGTTCACAGCTAATCTTCTGCTCAACATCAGTGGCTGCACTTCATTCATAAAAAGTATGCAAATGTTGCAGTGTCCTTAATTAAAAAGCCTTAGGCAGAATCAAAGCAGGGTCATTTTTCTCATGTTCAAGTAATGAAATATTTTCAGACATCATCATGTGCATGTACAACTTTGCTGCTATCGGTTGCAATGGCGATAGTGTGAGTGAAAAGCAAACTATAAATCTTAGTCAATGTTATGTCATTCATGACAGTTCCTCCATCCCATGCATCTATCTATCTATCTATCTATCTATCTATCTACAAACAAAATTCAGTTATTCATTTTTTTCAAGTAAGGTGCATATTTTATCTCTTTATAATTAAAACAACTTGGTGATCAACACAGTTAAATAAAAGTACCACAGGCACTCGGTGAGGGCCTTATACAATGTGAGAGAATTTTTTTTATATTTAAAACAATGATAAAAACAAATAAAAGTAAACACTAAAGTTAGTTAAAAACAGTAAATGTAAGACTGACATTGTGTAAGAGAAGAGATAAGTGCAGATTGAATGAACAAATACGATATAAACTAGAGCTGGGCGATAGAACGATAACGATATGTATCGCGATATAACTTTTACTCGATAGAGAAATTAAGCTATCGCGATAGACCTCGCCGCTCTTGTCCTCAAAAAAAAAAAAAAAAAAAAAAAAAAAAAAGGTCAGCCAATCCAAATTAAGTAGCGCAGAGCCGAACCAATCACAGCCGCAGCGTCACGTCGCGTGACTTGTTACGTACAGCACAAGTGCCAAGCCGCACGTGTGTTTGTTTGGGAAGCAGCCAGCGGGTAATGGAGGAAATGAGTGTGCCGACTAGAAAAATCAACCGAGCGTGACCGAAGAGAAAACAGATGATGGTTCCAATGCCGGAGAGATTGTCGAACGGAAGAGCCATAGAAGTTCCGTAGTGTGAAGGTATTTCGGCTATTTCAAGTCTGACAAAAAACAGAGTAGCGTGCACTGTAAATTGTGCCGAAAGCAAGTCTGGAAATACAATAAACTGGTGCATGCGTCACACTGTGCGCCACGTTATTGTTTCGGTGAAATGAATTTCTACAATACTGTTAATTCTACTCTCTGCAGTGTTTAAATGCTTACATATACACACAGTTACTGTCCTCCACACATACGACTCGGTTCTGCTTCTATGCCCCAGCTTTGTTTACTTTTTCCCACCGAGGCTTCTAGACTTCTGATTGGCCAACATTTCTGCACGGTTAGGAATCTAGCGCCACCTGCTGCTTTGGCATGTTCATAGCAGCGTTTTCCTTCATTTCTGCCTTTATGTGTGGACGGGATTATTTTTTAAAACGAAAACGGAAAATCTCCGTTTTCAAAAATACCCGTGTACGTGTGGACGTAGCCTCAGTCTCTGACTGGAAGCGCTAATTCGTCATTCGGCTTTTGTCAGACTAAAGTAACTGTTAAAACTGTTTGAAAAGCTCAGCTATACAACAAGGAGAGATTGAGAATTTCCTTTTAGTTCTCAGTTTATTTGATATTGACAAAAGTTAGTCAGTTTTGTCTGTTCTTCTGTAAAACAAACTAAGATTTATTTTTAGAATTAATATTTTGTTTCTAAGTGGAATTGACAATTTAGTCTGTTTCGTTTGTTCTATTTTGAAACTTAAACGCTTTAGCGGCTGCCTTTTGTGTAGTTTGCAATATTTGCCTTTATTTATCTGAAAAAGTCTCATGTTCCTTAAGTACATCTACCCTGTTGAACTTATTATGGGAAATAAATATTTAAATAAAAACAAGCTGCTGATTATTTCACATTTTACTTGTGAGCAACGGCACATTTAAATCTTACAAATATAGTTATTTGGCTTATATCGTGATAGATATCGTTATCGCCTGAAATGAAAAAAACATATCGTGATATGAAAAAATCTCATATCGCCCAGCTCTAATATAAACTATAAATCAAAGAAAAACATTGGGATCTTAACCTGACAGGTGTGCTCACCTGTCATAAAATGAAAGTGTTCATACCTGTCTAGTATAATTAGCATCTCCACAACAGGAAGTACATTATATTGAAAAACTGGATTGGATATGAGCAGAACCAGTCTTTGTAATGACATTATTGGACCGGTTTGTACCGTTCGTTTTGGCCCCCGGGCCACATGTTTGACACCCTGGCTTTAAAGCGAAATAACTGTTCCATGAGAAAATAATTCATCTGCAGTTGTTATTCCGCTTTTATATTGAACCACCTGTTTGTACACAATGAAGAGCGACCAAAGGTTGAAAACTACAAATCCCAAAAAGCTTTGCGCCACTCATTAGCGTGTGTTCTGCATGCAGTGGGGAGAAATGTAGAGTGTTAGGAGGCGGAGAGTCAGTCTGCTCACTGTGGAGCTGTGTAGGGGCAGCAGGAGGAGCCGACACCGACAGAAAGGAGCGATTCAAAGAAAGACGTGAACGTTGCTCAAATGCACAAAATTGGGCTTTGAATTACGCCGGGAGCAACGGTCGTGTGGTTTATTCGGAGCCTTTGGTTTGGACAGAAAGGGTGTAGACTACGGACACGGCAATCCCCTTTACCCCCCCTAAAACAGCGAGAGGAATCGGAAAGAGGTGAGAGGAAAACCGTTTGGGACTGTGAGACATTTAAAACTAGCGAAGACAGAGAAACGCTCCACAATTGGCTCAATTGAAGTTGAAGGAACAGTTCTGGTGGGCTGTAGGAACATGACCGTCTTCAGTTAGCCTTTATATGATTTTTTCCTTCTTAATAAATGCAGTTGTTCGCCGGTCTAGTCATTTTTTAAAAGCCCCCATAGGTGTAAATTGTATCCCATTAGAAATGGGTGAGGTTTGTCTGCTATACAAAAGACTTGCGCTTCCTTTCCAGTCAGCTGAAGTGAATTTATGTCGTTTTCTCTGATGGATGTATTTTTTGTTTGTTTTTTTGGTCGCCTTCCGTCTTAAGACAGCTAAGGTTTGATGTATTGAACACTTATTTGGAAGGCTTTGTGTTGACGGCGGGGAGCGCCTTAGAAAAACAGAAATGTGGAAATGCATAGCAGCCCGTGTAAACCCTTGTTATTTGGCAGTGTTACAAAGTAACCAGCAAGACTACGTGTGTGCGCGCGCACGTGTGCGTGTAAGCCTCTGGGTGTGTGTAAGCGTGTGATTTCTTGGCTGGGGAGACTGGGGAATATTTGCATTTGGTCCAGTATAGAAACAACAGCGATGATGAACAACTAAATAGGAAGATGGTTAAAGTGCAGCTGACCACCAAAGTGCCAGAATCTTCTCGGTGAGAGCTTCAATGGGCCTTTTTGCCCTCTAAAGTTTAATCATTGCTGCAAAACCTTAGAAAAAAGCGGTTATGTTACATTTACGCCCATGTTAACGACCTTTGTACGTGCAGGAAAGGGGGTCCTGTTACTTGGACTTTATTCCCCCTCACAGTTCAGGACGGATGTGGACTGTTTGGGATTTAAAGCCACATAGGAAGGAAGAGGGGATCAGTGGATAGACTAGAGAAACTGGACGAACCCCTGCCAAGAATTTAGTTGCAGGGCAGGCAGGCAGTGATGTGGGATGTGGAGGATGAAAGCACCGAAAAACCAGCTTGCCAACCTCTTGTAGCTCACTAAATAGAGTTCACTCTTCTTTGTAGGCTGGAAAATATCTGTAAAAGTACTGTGCATGATGATAAATGGTGTCAAACTGCTTCAGCTTATATGGAGACTCTTTAGGGCAGTAGATGTGTAAATAAATTACGCACTTGTGTTTTCCACTGTCTGCTTCTAGGAGAGTAAACTATGTCTCATCAACTGCTTACTTGACTAATTAGGACATATTGATGATTTTTTTTTAATTTGTGTCTTCTCATTTTGTTTCTGTTTTCCAGGGAAGGAGGCAGGCTTAGTGTGTTATTGGAGAAAGTCATTCAGCACTGGCAGTCTATTCCATGTTAATGTAATGGAAACACCCTTTTGGTCGGTGGCATCTGAAATGCATCAGTGGAAATATATCAGTAACTTCCATGGCTAATTCTATCAAGCAGCGGTGGCTTGAGTTTGCCAGTGGATGCACTCAAGAGCCGAGTGCCCTGCCATGCCCAGCGCCATGCTAAGGCAACACATTCATAATAACAAGGAGCACTTAGTTCAACCAGTGGGGAAGCTATGGAAAAAGTTGGTGGAAAATCTATGGTTTAAACCTCAATTTTAAACTTCCTTTTTTCAGTTTGACCTACATTTTCTCTAACGCTTCATAGCTCAGTTGCTTTTCCTGCCATCCACAGCGACTCGGCTTTTTTCTCTACTTTTCACCCAGCTTGCCTTCACTCTCGCTGCTTCTTAAAACCAAGGACAGCTAAAGTGCATCCTTCTTTTGCACCTGACAAAATGGATGTTCGAATTTAAAGCCAGCCTTTGTTGGAGATGAAAATGTGAAGGGGCGTAATGAAGGGAACCTGAAGAGGAGGAATAGGTGGAACAGCAGCACTAGATCAAAATGGCCCAAACCAGTTTGCTGAAAGGGAAGCGCTTTTACTGCCGGGAGTGGGTATTCCATAAGATTCAGCATTGCCTCCAGGAGAAAACCAACAACCTCAGTGGAGTAATCAGCACTCCCAGTAAACAGCCCCCGTTGGCACCTGGTGGTAGTGCGTCCAACCCTGGCACCCTCACAGCAGGATCTGCAAAGTCGGGTAGCTCCTGGGGTGTGTTGCTGGTGGGAGGGCCAGGGAGTGGGAAAACTGCACTGTGTACAGAGCTGTTATGGCCCACATCAGCCCAGGGAACCCACCGCGGTCTACACCAGCAAAGCCTGGCTTTCCACTTCTGCCGGGCAGATGACTCGGACACGCTGTGCGTCGGCGGTTTCATCCGAGGTCTGGTGGCTCAGATTTGCCGCAGCGGGCTACTGCCAGGATATGAGGAAAAGGTGCGCGATCCGGCTGTGCAGAACACTTTGCAGCCTGGAGAGTGCGAGAGGAACCCCACAGAGGCTTTCAAGAGGTAAAGACACACACACTCACACAGTTAAAGTATGACTGCAAGCAGATGATTTCACAGATTAGCACCTCTTTACAGTGAGACGGATAACTAATCCATGTCGACAGGACCTCATTCTTTGCTTAATCAATTAGTCAACATTGATAATAAAAGCAAATTTTGCAGCTTGCCCAATGTGACTATTATCTGTTTTTGTCAGCTTTTATCTCATTGTTAAATACTGGATGATTAGACATGTACACCACCATCCTGTTTTTCAGTCTCTATCAGTTTTTTCCTGTTGATTCATTAAAAAAAATAAACTGATGCAGTTGTATATCTTACTGAAACAGCTACCTATTGCAGCACTGCACAAAATTACCTGAATTATGATTCCTTTTTGGAAAATATAAATCCGCCTATTAAGTGTTTCTTCATATCTTCTTGCAACTTTAAGTTTAAAAAAAAAAAAGAAATGGTAAAAAAACGGTGTTTCAGGTAGTAACGGAAATCTAGGAATTTGGTTTGACTAGAAATGTAAAGTGCAGTCAGCCCATCCCCCCCCAAACCTACCCTCTCCACCTCCTGACCCTGATGCACCTCCCCCCGTTTATTTTTTTTTCCCTGCACACACTCATGACATAGCTCCGCCCCAGTAGCCTCTCCAGTTATTTCTTGTCATGGTTTTGTCTGTCCCCCCCGTGCGACATGCTGGGTGGGACTGTCCCTGCTTGGCTTCGGATTCAGGAAAGGTCAGATATTTTTAAGTTGTAGCTTAGCTCACGAGGTGAGAGACTCATGAGAAAGAAGCTTTGAAGTACCACTGACTCACTGACCTGGGTGAACTGAACTGTGATTGTTAGGTTCACCTGGGTCAGTCCAACACTGTGCAAGATGATGAAGTGCACATGTAAGGCTGAAGTACAGTAGGCTTGTGGGATTCGAGCACCCTGCCCGGACATGTAATACGATCAAGATGGACTGTTATTGCAGACGGGGGCTTTAAATGGAGCTGCGTGCGTGCGTTACTTGCACGACTTGTCTACACAGTATAGGTCAGGCCGTCTATGCAACACAGGCTGGAATGCAGCACTGTACACACACACTCACGTTTCTCATCTGGCCATCTGGTGATGCTTATTGTACCATCTCAGCATCACACACAGGAAGAAAAGTAGGTCAGATGTTCACTAAGGTAAATCATTTTTCAATTACTCACCAGTCAACCTAACCCACTTTTCTTTTTTTTCTTTTTTTTTTAAACCCACTCATTCCTAAGGGAATGCTTGTCTTGTCATCGTCTTGTAATCACAAGGCTTCCACCAATGATTCAGACTTCAGTTTGCCCCTCTGAGGTAAAACACAGGTTATCATAGAAACATTGAAAAATAGACTGAACCCAACAGGGACAGATTTTTCACTTCAGCTCTGCTCTGTGTCACTCTGAATGTTGAGGGCCTTTTGCGGACACTTCACTGAACCCAGCCTCGTTAAGCAAATATTCTGTAACACTCGAGACCTCAGGCTTTAAATCTGCAGACAACAAAGACACAAGGCCCATTATCTCTGCCTGTTGTGTTCGTCAGCCACATAAACAGTTGAGTAAATGCCTTATCGCCATCTCAGGTGTAAAAGCATCCCAGGCGCTGTTGTACACAAAAATCTGAACAGATCCCCTGCTGATCGAGATACTATCTGGATTCAAGAAGTCAAGATTGCATCTGGCAGTGGCATTTAGAAAAGTACAAAACAAAGAAGGACGTGGAACAGTGTTATTCTATGAGTAGTAATTTACATTAGGACTAATGTTTACACAGGGATTCACGTCTTGTTTGGATTCAACTACCTTTGGGTTCACATTTATTGCAATAAAAGTCCCACAAGTTTCATTTAGTTAAGGGTCTTGTTTAACACGTGTTTTTTTTTGAGGAGCTGTTGACCCCCTCCCCCTCCTCCCCTGCCTTTCAGCTGTGATTTTAAACATTACCTAGTGAGTGAGTGCAAGAGGCCCTGCAAAATTCTTTGGCCTAGTCAAAGACAAACAAGTCAGTTTTGGTAGTAATCACCAGCACTGTGTTAATACAATGGGTTTACATGGGTTTACGTCCACTTACTTCTACTCCGATACCACAACTAACCAAAATTTGGACATTTTAATAAATCCCTGCACATTTTTATGAACCTGAAGGTTTCCCCCATGTTGTAATCCTTAATTTCTGTGTTTTATTGCTGACAGGTTACAAACAGATGTAGCATGAGCAGTGACTTTAATAATAAGAACCAAATGTACTATTTAAATGAAGGATATCTTCAAAGTAGAGCTAATTTTTAAGTATCACTAGAACAATCTTGCATTTTAAGATGTCCTGTGGACATGATGATTAAATTAACAATAAATGGCAATCAAGTGAATAAACAGAATTAAAGTAAGTTCTTAAAATTTACCTGATTATCTACTGATTCATTGATTGGATACTTATCTGTCAGTCCAGTATCTCTGCTAAAGGACAGATCAGTTCAGTTTTGATGTTAGTTCATGTTTACTAGATCAGATGTCAGCAGTGCATCCATAAACCTGCGTGTGGAGCACGGAGAGTGCTAATGACGAAAGGTCAGGACTTTGGAGGCATTTCACGCTGGCACACAACAAGTTTTGTTCATTTCTTTGCAGTTGTTTGTAACTTTACCGATTCAACAGCAAACGGTGATTCGACGATGACGGAAAAGAGCAGTCGATGGAGGTTTTCCTTGTTTCCCCCGCTCTTAAGTCCAATTTGCTCAATCGGATGAATTTCCATCTTAACCTGTCTGTTAACTGCTCTGTAAAGTTTGCAAAGGAGCAAGTGGTGAAACAGAGAGCAGTGGAGGCAATAAAGGAAAGAGGCACAGAAAAGCAATAATTCAGAAATCTACATGGGGATTTATGCTTTCAAGTTTCTCACATCCTGTTTTTTTTTTTTTTTTAAATTTTTTGTATGTTGGATAGACAAAAACATCTGAAATGCTTTTTCTGAGTTTTTTTGGCCTAAAATAATAGAAAGGAAATAACCCGAAGGTCAGTAAAAAAAGAAAAATCTGTGGCCTTAATCGTAACATCAACAAAAAAATCCTTTATTAGATTGTGATCATGACTTTAGTTCTTTTAGCCAGACTTTCTATAAAGTCTTTTTTAATTCATGCCTGCATCAAAAGGCAGTTTCACCTTTTAATTTGCCCTTTGTGTGCTTCAAGTCTGCCAGTGCCAGCGTGTGTCTTGTTCAGACAATAAACTTCATAAAATAAACTTTGGTACATTCACTGCTTGCCGTCAGAGCTATCTAAAGGCTTTGACACTTGAGTTGCAGTGTATCATCAAAGATTCGACTTCCAGACAAAGCCAAAGCACATTCCTCTGTCTTTATCGCTTCTACTGTAGTCTGTGTCTTAGCGGTATCAAAGGCCACTGCCATGTTTTGACTGGAGTCCTCCCGTTTGAATCAGTTTGTGATTTTTAAACAACCAGTCAGCCTCCTGTCATCCAACATGCGTAACTTTCTCCCTTCAGGACAAAAGAGCTGACTTCGAAGAGGTGGAATTAACTCAGTCGCGTTGGTCAAATGACAGGCAACAGTTGCTTTGTTTTTGTTTTTTTTCCCCCCTTGATGGGACAAAGCAGGCTTTTAGTGTAGGTGTGACTTATATGTGGATCTGTTGTAAGGCTATTCTCCAGTAAGCAGGAGTTAAGTTTGAATTGCAGCTGGATGAGTTTCTATTTTTATAGAAAGGGCACAGACTTCAGAAATGATGAATGACTGTGGCTTTAACTGGTGAAAAAGATTTGAACTTTCTTGGCAATGTTTTATTCCCTGAAGAATTGTCTGTGGAAGAAATTGATGATGCAGTTTTGAGATTTTCCTAAAAGATGGTTAGAAATGTTGATTTTCTGGCAGCTTCATCAGACGGTTCTTTGTAAAAGATTTTGCTTGTTGCTTTGTTCCAAACAACTGTTGATACTCTGGAAAAATAGTCACATCAGTCAAAGCTAAAGAAAGATTAGATCAGCTGTTCTTGCCTCCGGTGAGATCATGAATATTGTTAAACCTTTTTTTTTTTTTCCCTAGTCATTTTTCTAGACAGTATTGCAACAATGGGATTTCCTTTTTAAGCATCTTGACATGTGACCGATTATGCCAGAGAGATAAATGTAGTGACGTTTGCGAAGGCCTCTGATCTGATTGTTACCTAAACAAGAGAAAGCTTTAAATAATATAAAATTAACGTAAAACTGTGACCTCACCCATATTGGCTGCCCGAGTCTGAAGTAAAACTAACCAAGCGGGAGCTCTGCGGTGTTTTTTTCTCTTTGTGTTGACTTTTTGACTGTTTCACGTTGGGCGGCCGTGCTTATTGGGGTTAAGGGACCTTAAATGAAAGCAGCTCGCTGGCTTTCATGTGGTGCACGGCTGTGGAAAACTCGCTGCAGATTAGGCCCACATTTTAGAAACCAAAAAAAGACTCCCAGTGTGACGCATCAGCTCCAGTAGAGCAGATGAGGAGAAATGGCAGCACTGGTGTGGCTGCACCGATGACTCAGCAATCTAATGCCAACGTCTGTCTCCACACCACCGGCTATGTGTGTACTTTTTGTTAGAGCTTATTTGTTTGTGGATATGTCTGCCTACATGCTGCATGTGGATATACAAAACTGATTCATGTAATTGTTACCCTCACACACTCACAGTCAGCATTGCTGCAAGTTTATACTCATTCATGAAGTGGAGCTCCTTTCTGATTGTTCATTTAGTCTACAGAATATTGGATAATTGTGGAAAATGTAAATCATGTTTGTAGAACCCAAGATTAAATCTCCATATGATCTCACAGTCTAAATAAAAGTCCCTAATTTATTAGGGCTTGGAACAGAGGAAAGCAGCAAATCCTAGCTTTTTTCAAAGCTAGACTTGCTGAATGTTTGCCTGACATATTACTTAAATGGTTAAAGCCCCTGAAAACTTGATGAAAACTTGATGAGTCAGTTACAATTT